ATTTGCAGGTCCCATTGAGGAAACGGTACCACTCAGCAGCACATGCACAACCAATACAACCCGATAAATGGGATATTGAAAATCGATAAACGGAAATGCAAACAATAAGCGGTCATTAAAACACACAAGCAGCACTCAGTAATGTTTAGAAAATTTTTCGTAAAAAGTGGATTACAGAAAACTACATTGTCATGACAGAGTAACTGGAATTGATCGATGGAGAACTTCCAAATGTTATAAAAATATCCGCGAACGCTCCGCTAATAAAAAATTACAGGCCAGTCTTATAAAAAGTCTACCCTTTTAATGGCGGATTATAAGTTAAAGAGTCAAAATCCCCCATTTCTGTAGCTCACTTGGTTAGATAATTACTTTTACCAGCTTAGTTAAAAATACACATCAACTTATATTTTAATACAGTGATTGTTTGCAAAGTTACTCACAAAATCTTTAGACACAATACGGTTATTACGTTTATGATTTCAGTAGATACTTGTGGTAGGGCGTATTCGAGTATGTACATAATAAATTTTATACTTATAATGGCTTTTTTTCACTTTTTCGTCAACTAACCAATTTCATCAAGTTAAATGCGAAATTACAAGTAAGCATGTTGCAGTTTTGCGCGCAGGTGTAGATTTCAAAATAATATAATTTGTGCAGCGACTTCCTCTTAAGATTCGACTTTCTGCAAGATATGAGGTGTAATCTAAAATCGTACGATCTCTTACGAAAGAGGAGGGAGGGATCTTAAATTTATGAATAATGTCTTACATGATTTGTGAACGACACCCTAATAATCAACTGCCACCCTTTTACTGCGGCGCATCGTTTCCTCGAAGATCCTCGAAAATAAAGATTAACCCATACTAAAAGGTCCATCATTGTGCTACTGAATTAGCTTTGTTTTATAACGGTTATTTAACTTCCGTACTAAATTAAATTACTTTTAATTATATTTCTTGTTTAATAGCTGGCACTCACGAATTGTGCAATTAATTCTCTGAGTTATGTGCTTCAAGAATGATTAATTTAGTGTTGTAAAAACTAAGCAGAAAATTAATTGCATCTCCTGTAGCGGAATATTTCATTTAATTAATGACTATCGCTGCGAAATCGATATTTTTATTCCATTGCATTTAATGATCCGAATTCTAATTTTATTGTCGACTAAAAATCGGGGTAAAAAACGACTAATTAAAACTGTTTATTAACTGAATGCTTTCCGGGTTATTATCATAAAATATGTATTACCTGCCCATGTATTGGAAAAACGTAGAGGTAAATATAGTCGACAGATTGTAAGGGAAATCTTGGGAAATTTCGAGAAAAGTTGTGGAGAATAATAGAAACGATCTGGCAACCTCGACAGCCGTGTACCATTTGCGCAAGCGACTGGAAGATGTGTAGTTTTGTCTTAGCGTACTCCTACAGACTTTCCGCTATTAAAGACAAATCTCAATATTATTTTTCATTATCCTTCCGGAATATGATTCTTTCAAAGTTTTTAAGATGTACAGTGTAAACTCTTTATAACGTCACTCGATTTAACAACAAACTCCTTAAAACGTCGAAATTGCTTGACTTTGTTTGGTTTACATTGTTTTCTATCAATATTGCACTCTATATAGGGTCACGCTCACTCTATTTAACGGCAACAATGCGGCATTACAAATCATTGAGCAGTACTTTCTAAGTTGTCGAAATAGATAAGAGCTGCAGCTGCGTATGTTGTTGAAGAAGACGATCCTGCCCCTCCACCAAGCATCAAACAAGCACTTGATGCAGCGAAACTATTAGAAAAATACTTTTTATATAATCAAGTTGATCCAGCAGGATCTCAAGATATTAGTAAGATACGTAACAAAATACCATTAAAATATTGGAGCAGCAAAAAACATCAGACGAAGATAACAGGTTATACGCAATGTATGAATAATAATGTTCGTGTGCAAAATGTGTACTATATTAGTAAACGCATATTATTATAGAATAGTAAAATAATATCTTTTATTTCTCTCCATTTAACTACCACTCTTTATAACGCCGAAAAATGTTCAGTCCCTTAAGTGTCGTTATATAGAGTTTACACTTTATTTTAGTGTGTATTTCCTTTAAATAGTATTAACTATAGAAACTAAACTAAATTGATTTAAGTATTTTTTAATATGTCATAAAAAATACTTTTTATGGTACTCCATGAATGATCAAACAATGTGTCGCCAAGCAGCAATTACTTGATAAAGGACTCAAGTTGCGATAAAGGAGCGGAATGCACCAACTTTAAAATAAATTTGCACTCCACGTCTCCGTCGGCTCATAATGACCCTTATGGCTCTCATTTGCAGTAACAAATGAACCGGTTCTGAAAACTAAACGGAAGTTTCGAGTTTTGTACGAATAATCATCTATACTGCAACTTTAATTCGTAACGAAGGAAGTGCGACGTAACCGTCTGTGCGACGTTAACAAAAACTTTATGCCAAGCGCATTTTCGTTCCAAATAACTTCCTTACAGGAGGAGATACGTCTCCAGCGTGAAATCCATTTGCAACGTAATTTTCATGTTTTTCCGACATCACATTCCGGCATCGTCATTGGCAGTAGATATACATATAAACGAACTGTGTATACACTAGTGGAAAGTTAAGAGCTGAACGTAGAGAGAGAATCATCAAAGGAGTCATCTTCTGAAAAATACGACGTGATATAGGAATTTTCGTACAAATACCTCTAGCTCTCTTTCCATATAAATAAATAATAAAGTAATATAAGTCCCATAAATGTAATTTAAAGCTTTTGAGAAGTGTAAAGTCTTCTTCAAAAGCTTTTGGAAGTTCAGTTAGTTTAGGACAGATTTTAGAAAAGCGGAAGGTATTTTCATATAGACGTGGTTGTAAAGATGGGTTCGACACGTTCTCTTATATCATCGCATAACCAACCCCTTTTAGATATAAATCTTACGTTAAGTTCAGACACAAGAGTAGCATTGAATTTGGTCTCCACCTCCGTTTGCTCCAGGAGTTTCATCATCTCCCAGCAGCGATTACAATATATGTAATGTCGGTAATATGTATCTAGTTTTGGACGTACACTTCTTGGTCTCACAGTCCTTGCCGTTACACTTCTGATATCTACACTTCAATATTTCCTTGTTCCTGCACGATGCGGCATGACAACGGTAACATCCAGGGAGATACACCTTCTCCTCTAAGCGGCAAGAGTCCATCCGATCCTTGGTCGTTCCTCTGTATTAACTCCTGCCCGTACTTTTTGTCTATAATCAGGATGACCGGAGTATTTGCTGTGTCTACCCCGACATCATAAACCAATCACGATCTCTCTCTTCTCCATTTTTGATGCCCTTTCTAATACATGATTTATTTCATCTTCAGAAATGATAGTGTTGATGTCTCTGAAGTTAGTCGACATCTTCGTATTTTTCCGTTTGATTATCTTGTCGTTCTAAAGGACTCGTGTTCTACCCTCCCTCCCTTTTTCCCATTATCTGCCTTTTTACGCTAGTAAACTCTGCATCAACTCGAAGTTGTTCATTCGTCTACGATACATCTAAATGGGACTATCTTTTATGTTCAGTTGTTTTGCCTTTCCTCTCCTTCTTGGTATTGGTTGCAGTCTGTTTATTAGTATCCTTCCTGTCCGTTGTGGTTGAAGCGCTGGAAAGAACTTCGTTGTCATTGTCCGATGCTACTCTCTTTTGATTGCAAGACTTCTGTAATAGGCCCCACATAAAAACAACAACAATAAGAAATAGTTCAGTTGGGCATCCAAAAACAATTGCAAAGTTATGATCCCAAGCAATCAAACAAAAGTATTCTTCGGTTCATAAATTTATTGGGCATGTTTTTCACCTATTCAGTACCCTTTTGAGTCTGCCTCTATGTTGTTTTTTAATATTTACTACTTTTAACTTATTCACTGTATATAGAGCAAAACTGTTCAGCAAATTAAATTAAGTAATTCAGTTGGATCTAATCATGTACTATATTTTTTTGATCGGATATGCGATCCTACTCCTTAATCGTTGATAAGTAGTCACATAGTGACTGTTTTCTGTTCTTTACGGTATATTTTGTGCATGTATTTTTGTTATTCGGTCGTAAATAATATTTGATATATTGAAGTGTTTGCGCGTGATAGTACTCACAGATACCGTTGTTTTAAGTTTTATTCACTTTTTGTAATATCATTATATTACCCCTGGTCTTACACTTATTATGTATAGAAAAAAATTGAAATTAATTTGTTTATTATGCTGCATTTAATTTTGGAAAAAATTTTCCTTGAGTAAATATGCGTACCTAATTTTTTGATTTTCTTAAAATTTCGCTTCAAATTACATACCTATATATAGCCTATCAAGATTTGAAACATTCACACTGGAAACAAAAATTATCATCTGTTTACAGTTTACTATTATTGTTGTAAATGCTTACTTACTAGATACTATATTTTAGCTTACATGCACTCAAAAAAAATTTTCAGTTTTTGCTAACAAATTTAGTTTTAGTTTTTACTAACTTTAATTCATTTATACGCAGTTCAAAAGTTATCGATTACTTAGGGACACCGTTATGTAATTAAAAAAATTACAGCAAATTAATTAATTAACCTAATCTTGTGTCATAATGCGGCTAATATTTAAGATTTTTTTAATCGGAAATATGCCAGTATCGCCTTTCATTCAATCAATGACAAAGATAATTATTGTATTGACTTTTTGCAAACCTGCCATAATAAAGATAATATCGCATTCTATGTTTTGGAGATAATCTTTTTAAATTGACATTACATTTTTTTTTAAATCAATTTTTCGAAAATTTTCAAACATTTTCTTAAACTTGAGACGCTGATTCTCTACAAAGATTATATTATTTATAAACGCTAATGTTTATTGACTTCATAACATTTTGCATTAACAAACGAATACTTCAAACATTATTTTAAGTACCTTATTTATTAAAAAAAAAAAGAAAAGATTGATTTCAAAAAACTCATTTATATTGCTAACAAATGTAATATTAATTAATTTCGGAAAATTTTACTGTTATTTTATGGTGAGCAGCGATATTGGTCCTGTGCAGCAAAAGTTCCTCGTAAATTAGCGAGACCGTTATTTATACGAACTTGCCTAACTCTAATTGCCGTTAGATCTGTGTAACGCTTAGTCCTGCCTCTGGTCCACATAAATTCTAAAAAAAACAATTGTTTAGCTAAAAAAAAAAAAAGTTGAGTACCCTAATGACTAACAATAGATGGACAAGAAAATTAAAACTGCTTCAACGGTACACACGATAATTTTAGCGACATTTTTTTTTACTAAGGCTTCCATAGAGTAAGATTAAAAAGGCGAAACATCGGCAAATTTATGCGTATAAAATAATTCGAAGTGGTCTGTATTCTGTCGAAACTGCCAGACGCCGATCGCGATTTCGATCTTTCTGGATCCCATCAGCGTGTCGCAGACAGCTCCGACAGAACACAGACCAACTTTTACCTGCTGTCTTAATAGCGCGTTTTAGAAAATACTACAAATGGCGCGGTAAACGCCACCTGTAGTACGATGCTACATTTTAGGATTACGTATGCTCTAACAAGGTCCATTTAAATATATGGTTGGTCTGTGTTTTGTCGGAGTTGCCTGCGACGCGCTAATGAGATCCAAAATGATCGAAATCGCGATCCGCGTCTGGCTGTTTCGACAGAATTCAGACCACTTCGAATTATTTTATTCGATTATGGTAACGTGCCTTTCACGTTGAGGTGAGCTACGCCGGAATTCGTTTCAGCAAGTAGATATCCATATATTTAAATGGACCTTGTTGGAGCATACGTAATCCTAAAATGTAGCATCGTACTACAGATGGCGTTTACCGCGCCATTTGTAGTATTTTCTTCTTTACGCGTAGTGTTGAGTAAATTTTTTCGTTAGTCAATTTTTCATTGTAAATATGTAAATTATCATGTAGAGAAATTACTCTCTTACCCATTCTGGTTGTGCTATTAACATTAACGCATCTATACTCAACGACGTACTCATCATAACGAACTCCAAGAATTAGATATACCAGTGGATTGGCAACATTGGGGTATTTTTGACTTATAATTCCTTCACGTCTATTACTAGCCGGTGTCCATGTTACTACACCATCAGATCTGCCACTCCATTGACCGGTTGTTAAATTTTTTCGTATCCAAAAGAAGTCCCCGGTTACATCTGATGTCATAGTAAAATTCGCGTACTCGCAGTCGGCAGGGATGTTGTACGTAAACATGGTGTACCATTTCTTACCAGGTTCTGCATACTGTTAAAAACAATTGCAATAAAGTGGAGAAAGATATTTTTTTTATTTTGTACATATATACACAGAAATAAAATTGAAATAATTGTCATTTTTTAAAGTTCTCATGGTTATTTGTCAACTATTATTAAGACTATTCATACATGAAGATACGTGATCTAGGCTTATAGTATACCATATTTTTTTTGGGTCCAACGCAGGACTTAATTTTGAAATTACTTATTAAAGTCGTAATAGTACACTGAAGCATTAAAATGAATTTATTCCATTGTAGTTTTCATAAGATATGACTTTTTATTGAAATGGTTGGTTTGCTTTAATTACATCGTAAAATTCACAACAAGAATGTTCTGGTTAATTTTAATATTTAACAGATGTTTAACACTAAAAAATTGAAAGTGTCCTACTTTCTACTTTAAAAATTCTTCCCAATTGAAAAAACTCTCTCAACTATCATAAATGTCGCAGGGAGAAACATGACAAACAAAAATTTTAGAAATATATTGCAACATAAAATATCAGTCATTTAAAGCACTTTTAAAAGTTAGGCTACGAGGGTGGATTGATAAGTTTCCGGTCTAACCAAGAGATGACGCCACTAGGCCTACCTTGAGGTGACATTCTATAGTACCATCCTTGGATAGCTTGTAGCTATAGTTTCAGCCCGATCTCCTTGCTAGTGTAGGTTTGACAGCACGCTGAACAAGACGCCTCTGTGGTTTTCGTAAAAATGGAAAAGCAGGAAAATCGTGCTGTCATCAAATACTTTTATTTGAAGGGGTTAACGCCGAAGGAAATTAAAAAAGAGATGGACTCAACACTGGGGACATCCTCCCCGTCATATTCAACCGTTAAGCAGTGGGTTTCCGAGTTTAAAAAGGGTCGTGTGAGCACCTCTGATGGGCCTCGCTCAGGACGCCCCGTTGAGGTCACAACTCCAGATATGATCGAAAAAATTCATCAAATAGTGCTGGGAGACCGCAGATTGAAAGTGCGTGAGATAGCTGAGACCTGTAAGATGTCATATGAACGTGTGCAACATATTTTGCACCAAACCGCAAATTTGTCATTGTATAAGCGTAATCCAAGCGAATTTTTGCGTCGATTCGTAACCGTTGACGAAACGTGGGTCCACCACTACACTCCTGAAACCAAAGAACAGTCTAAACAGTGGATTGGACCAGGGGAACCAACTCCAAAGAAGGCAAAAACAATTTTTTCGGCGAACAAGGTTATGGCTACTGTTTTTTGGGATGCAAGAGGTATTATATACATTGATTACCTTGCAAAGGGTAATACTATCACTGGTCAATACTACGCAGACTTATTGCAACGTTTGAGCCACGAGGTGAAAATTAAACGACCTCATCTGGCGAAGAAAAAAATCTTGTTTCATCACGATAACGCACCAGCGCACACGTCAATCGTTGCGACGGCTAAAATCAACGATCTAAAGTTTGAATTGATGCCGCACCCTCCTTACTCTCCAGACCTAGCCCCGAGTGACTATTTTCTGTTCCCTAATCTCAAAAAATGGCTTGGCGGTAAGAGATTTGCGGACAATGAAGAAGTAATCGAAGCTGTAAATGGTTATTTTGAGGAGCTTGACGAATCAGTCTATAGAGATGGCATTAATAGACTGGAACACCGCTATGAGAAATGTATCAGCCTTGGAGGAGATTATGTTGAGAAATAAAAAAAAAAAATTTTTAAAAACCTTGTTTTTCTTGGTCAGGCCGGAAACTTATCAATCCACCCTCGTATAACAGAATGTTAAAAAACGCGATATCGAACATAAATGTAGATGATGGTCAAACCCAGTCATAAAATTTTCAAAGCCAAAACATTTTTACTATTCTTGACAGTTATATCTAGGCTACTTATTCTTACCAATTGATTATCGGTTGCTTATCTCTTAATTATTTATTGCTAAATTTCCATTATAACAATCCCAGTTACACATCAATAAAATTATGAATAAAGGATAATAAATAAAATTAACTTACCCTCGCAAAATCGAAATTATCTACCGCTTTTACTTCTGTTGTCTTCACATTGACCTGACGATATGTATTGTGAAGAAGAAAATGAAATTAGTGTAAGAAAAACAATCGAGAAAGGTTGATTAAACATTTCTACTACTTTTAACTTGTCACTTGCAAAGTACAATGGTCCTATATTTTTCTGGCTGTATACATATATACCTACAAAAAATTGTACAACACATCAATGTAATTAACGTTATCGTATCTCATATCGTTTATCGAACAATAAGTATGTTTTTATCGGAAATTTACCGTTATTTCACATCCCTCAATTCCTGATAAAGGAATTTACATATCTTATGTTTTTTAATCGTTCGTTAAAAATATAACACGAAGTTAACGACAATGAATAAGGACTATTAATAATAACTCGGAATTTAACATTGCACTTTAACAAACAGACCGGGCACTTTTAGAAGCATAAAATACGTTTTGATTATTATGAATCCCTTAATAAAAAAAAGTTACTTTTATGCTCGCGAACGGTTAATTTAGAAATTCGAAAAGGATTATTAATGGTGTATGTTTGAAGCGCGGCGAAAAGAAGAGGTTAGAAGCGTTCAATTCAAATGTGGTGTTACAGGAGAAAGATGAGGATATCGTGGATAGAGAAGGTTAGAAATGAAGGGGTATTAGAAAGAATAGGAGAACAAAGGACTCTATGGGGGTGAATAAGAAATAGGCGAGACAGGTTGGTAGGACACTTGTTCAAGCATGAAGGTCTAGTCAGAGACATATTAGAGGCAGAAACAGGCGTTAAGTGGAGTAGAGCTCAGGATAGGAAAAAATGGATGTGCGTGTCCAAACAGTCTTAGGACTGACCACCTTATGATGATGATTATGAATACCGAATAAGTCAGGGGTTTATGAAGTGTAAGATAGCGTCCTACTTTTTAATAGTTTTTGCCTTTTCTACCCTTAAAAATTCAGCCTACCGTTTATTTTATGATAATTTGACTGTAGATACTATTTTGTTATATAAAAAAGTTGAAAATTGTATTATCTGTAAACGTATACATACGTTTGACCTTCCTAAGGTAAATTTCGGAAAAAAGGTCACGGGTAGATAAACATCTTTACTTGCATAGCCATTCACGAAAGGAGTCCTGAATAGACATATATGTACCTACTTGTTTTTCAAGGATAAGCTTTCTTTAAAAATGTTTAGCCTCAACTTTCGAGAGTGTTTAGAGCACGAGATAGAAGTTTACTTTGTGAAACTGAAAAGAAGCGCAGAATGTACTGCGGCAGCTTGGAATTTTTATGGAAAATTAATTGAGAGTGGTAGCACTTTGTCGTGTGAATACGCCAACAGGTATTGCACACTTATACTCTTGAGTTTATAAATGGATTCTTTTCGGAAAACATATGCAAACAATATAACATTCGTGGAGAATCACATACAATAAACTTGCATTAAATAGTATTCATAAATGTTAGTGTTTTATGATAAGAAAATAAGAGTATGATAAATAGAAGAAAGTTAGGTTACAAAGATAATTTTCTTTTTAAATGGGTATATTTTATATCCTTGTGCACTCTAAAACGTTTGAAAAAAAAAAATGTGAAGCTAGGTATTAAATTTGTATAGCTGTAGTTTTTCCGGTCGTCATTTATTACTTAGTAACAAAGACAAACTTTAAGATGAAGTGATGCAGGAAATAGGTCATCATAAATTTGTTGAGAAGCTGCCAAACTAATAAATTACTCTTTACTTCCCTGAAAGACCACAAAAAGTGTCCTATATCAAAGATTCTAACCAACCCAGCCCGATGTTTTGCAAGATATTATTTATAATGTGTATCTAGAGGAGAAGAACTTTAGTTAAACGTGAAGTCCGAACCATAGGAGGTGTCGCAAAACGACTTGAGCATACAAATTGCTCAAAGGAAAAGCAAGTTTGAGGAAGTTCCAAAATCACCGCTTTTACGTACGTGCTTATTTTAACCACCTAAAACGTATCCTTTTGTGAACGAGAAGATTGCATACGTATGCAGTAGTATATGCAATTATCTTTTGAATATCATAATTACATATAACACATTAGAGTCCGATGTACAAAAAGAAAGTTGTGGAAGAATTACGAAAACTTTAATCGATTTTTTTTTCCTGAAATACCTCCTAATAAAACAGTTCGTTATTGGTGTGTACGTGTACGAACAGGAATAAGAAATATATAGCCTAACAAAATCTAAATTCGTTCAGAAATTTAATGTTTTACCTATTTAAGTAATTTGTGAAATTGTTTCTTCAAATTGGACATATGAGTTCACAATAATTTAATATAAAATTTTCGATTTCATAAAGGCGACGCGACGGGCGGCAACGTTTTATTCTTGTTTGAGGTGCACTTTCCTTCGCTTGGGGTCTCATTAGATCGGCAAGTTTTAATTATGGTATTGATTTGAGTAGGAGCTACTGGGTGCATTGAACTTCCGCTGTGTCTCCGTTGCTATATTCATATGTTGTAAATTTTAAATTGAACGACTCGTATAACAATAAAATTAACTGCACGGTTTTTTGCTTTTCATTTTCGTTTATTGTATAATCTGCAGGTATACTAACTGATTTTAGATACCTAGGAAGTCAAATAAGTGAGGATGGAAGGAGTAGTAGGGATATAAAGCAGAGGATAGCGCAGGGTCGTGTCGCCTTTAATAAAAAGAAGTCACTTCTATGCTCGCGAAAGGTTAATTTAGAAATTCGAAAAAAGTTGTTAAAGGTGTATGTTTGGAGCACGCCGTTGTACGGGTGCGAAACATGGACAGTGGGAGCGGCGGAAAAGAAGAGGTTAGAAGTGTTCGAAATGTGGTGTTATAGGCGGATGATGAGGATATCGTGGGTAGAAAAGGTTAGAAATGAAGAGGTATTGGAAAGAATAGGAGAACAGAGGACTCTATGGAAGTCAATACAAAATAGGCGAGATAGGTTGGTAAGACACCTTCTCAGGCATGAAGGTCTAGTCAGAGACATATTAGAGGCAGAAACAGGAGTTAGGAGGGGTAGAGGTACACCTAGATTAGATTACTGTTCGCAAATAGTTAAGAATGTGGGCTGTTCTAGTTTTAGGGAAATGCGAAGTTTAGCTCAGGATAGGAAAGAGTGGAGGTACGTGTCCAACCAGTCTTAGGACTGATGACCTTATGATGATGATGATGATGATACTAACTTGTAACAGCAAATTGGCATCGATCGTTCTCTTGATTATTAACAAAAAAAAAAACAGTATTGATCTTGTCCTTTTATTTAATCTCTTTTTTGGTTTGTACAACTGATGCTTCAAAACATACAAATCGTCACATAATGATCGTCTTAGCATTAACTTTTTAACAATAAATTCAAACAATCTTAAAAATGCAGATTCCTGCTAATGCTCCACAAAAACGTGTATAACACTTATTCAAATATTTTCAAGAGATTTAGAGAATTCCAAGATGTTCTGATGGTTTTAGGTTTATAGTTTCTTTTACTATGTAGTAATGATTAATAGATTACCTCATAAATTATTACCTCCTCTCAAATGCTTGCCATTCATTGGCCTTTTCAGGCGATCAAACAAAAAAAATCCGGGGGGGCACATCTGGGCTGTAGGGCAGCTACGGAAGCGTTGGGATGCCGCGCTTGGTCAGGTAGCTGTCCACAAGAAAGGCGGCGTGAGCCGGGGCGTTGTCGTGGAGCAACTTCCAGTCGGCTGCAATGTCTTGTCGGACCCGATTGACCCTTCGTTTGAGTCTCTTGAGGTCTTGAGCACTTCCACGTAAAACTTGGCGTTGACGGTTTGTCCAGGAGGAACAAATTCATNGTCGGCTGCAATGTCTTGTCGGACCCGATTGACCCTTCGTTTGAGTCTCTTGAGGTCTTGAGCACTTCCACGTAAAACTTGGCGTTGACGGTTTGTCCAGGAGGAACAAATTCATGGCGGACGATGCCTTTCATGTCAAAAAAGACAATGAGCATCGTTTTCACTTCGGGTTTGCTCATTCTTCCCTTTTGTGGGCGAGGAGACGCCGGCGTGTGCCACTCGGAAGATTGCCTCTTTGTCTCAGGATCATAGTCAAAGATCCATGACTCGTCACCTGTGATTACGTTATTCAAAAATGGGGGTCACTTTCACACATATTTGAATTTAATCGCGTACGACTCAGAGAAACACGTCGCGCGAAAAAAACCTGTTCTGACTCTCCAGGTGCTCGGAGACAACTCACCAGCCGCTCGTTCGTTAGCTAGGAATGCCATCTACCGAATCCAGTCGATGCGCGTACAGTCGCGGCGGAAGGAAATCAGTCCTATTACTTTCCGGACAAACCGTGTATAATAATAAGTATTAGGTACACCGTCAACCTCTACTGTATTGTTTCCCAAAAAGTACAGATGTATGCAAGTTCCTAAGTTTAAAACGAGTTAGTAATTATCTGGAAAACTTTAAAATACCCTTTAATTACAAAAATTTAAGGAGAAAAGGCAAACAATTTGTGTTTGTGCTTCCCTTCTTCCTCAGTGAAAACTTTTACGAGTATCCGTTGTTTTCAGATCGATAGCAACTGTCGCAATTAAGTATTTAATCTGGAAACTTGCTTTTCATGAACAACAAAAACCAAGGAAATTAAAGCTCGTCCAATAAAACTAAAACTAAATTTCTTTTAAGTCTCGTGGTAGACGGGACGTGCAATCGCGGTATTAAAAGCTCACCCTTCCATTGAAAGTTCCTTATACGGTTGGCTCGGGAGACCGCGTGACGCTTTATAACTTGGTTTCGAATTGCAAATGGGTGAAAGAGTGTAATATGATGAAATTTATTCCATTAGATACGGCAATCAGGCGAATACTTCTCCTGAATATATTTCCGATTTCATTTACTTAAAAAATTACCTTTACGCTGCCAACATACAATATTATCCAGAGGCGTGCAAACTAACTGAAGAACTTTTACCGTTTTCATAAAGATTCATGAAGCCGATTTAACCGCCAATTGAGAACTACTTAAGAAATTAAATGTAAGAATCTTATTTAACGCACGTATAAGGGATTAAGGATACTTAAGCTCCATCCCAACAATCGTCCTAATTTTTCTTTTCTTCAGAATATCCATAAATCATTAAAAATATTTTTCAATTGTTTATACGGCCCTATAAAACATTTTTT